ATTTCATCTTTCCATGCAGCTAGTCTCCCATGTTTCAAATACTCTAATCAATTGGAATCAACTCTCTTTATTCCATATTTGGAAACTGAGATGATCTCAGCCACATGAATACTGAGAATAGATTTGCAGCAACATTCCCTTTAAGGATTGTTCTGTCTAATTTGTCAAATAACACTTATTTGTTCATAGTTAATAGTGTAAAATTAAACAGTCCTTTGTTTCATTTGTCAAATAACACTTATTAACTAACAACCGAAGAGTATAATTTTTGTAGGAAATTGCTAAGTGTCTAACTGGCATTTTATGTTTGCTTCTGGCTTGAACAGAGAAACCACTTGCACCTCTTATTTTAGACAAATGGAGTATCATTCCACTGCAAAGATGGCAATGAAGCCGGTTGCTCTGCTGTTTGACCATTTGCTTCTTTGTCCCTGACTCAAATTATTAAAGGCTCAGAAGCAGCAGACAATAGGTTTTTGAAAATTGTCAATACAAATATAAACCTGGCCCTTTGCCTTCACTAACTTCAATCTGCCAGCTTGAAGGCATGTAAGCCTACCTTCTACTTGCTGTTCCTTCATAATATATCATTTTAATACTTGATTTGATTAGAATATTCAAAACAAGTTAATGAGTTACATCCTTGTCATGTTGTTGGTTTGCATGTCCTCTACTGACCTTTATTAACTAGATTTAAATTTAAAACTAAAACTGATGTCTAGACTTTGGGATACTCAGCAGTGACCTCTGTGCTACTGTCTGGTACATGCTTCCTATCCTTGCCATGGCAACTAGAATGACCAGTACGCTAGGTGTGGCGCCTGCAGAGTCACATGCTCACTCAAGGCCTTTTGTCACCTCCACACTGCTCACTATTGACTCTGTGCCCCATCTATGCTAAAGTCCTGTCCCTTCTTTGTATTCCTGTTACAAAATGCTGTATGGGTGGCATAATTTCCTGCTAGAAGAAGTTCATTTTAAACTAACCTAAACAAGTATCTGTAGAATAAACATTGTGAACAATGCATACTACCTTGTAGGATAATTTGAAATCCCTTCCACCTACAATCTGCTGGCCTCCAGCGCTTTCATGACTTTTTACAAAGGAAGCTAATTAGAATGGAATCTCAAGCACATATGAGTGCATTACCTACACAACATGCCCAGGTGAGCTGCTTTATGCTGAAATCTTTAAGCAAAATACAAAACTATAATCTCTTGGTATATTTTCAATTGATTTTTTTTCAAGACAAATATCCAGCATCTTAGTAGAATGTTAAATCACCTCACCTTGCCTTCTTAGAAATTACCACATATTATAGCATCATACACAGAGACAATCCTTAAGAAATATCCACTGCCTGATTGGTCCATGTCAGTGATAATGATCATACTTAAAAATGTTAATTGCAGATAGTGCTGAGAACTTTCTGGGATGCAGTTGCTGAGTATTCTAAACAAGATACTCCTATAAATCTTTTCAGCTCAGTTCCGAGTATTATTCTGAAATCAAAAAAGTTAATTAAAATAGTTCTCTTCTGCTTAGATTGGACCTCTGACTGTGTGAATACATCCTCCTTCTGTCTGTCATTTTTCTCTTTCTTTTACTTATTCACTAAAGCCCTTCCTGCCACTGTTTCCTCCCCATCTAGCTTCATCTCTAAAACGTCAACACAGCTCTGTGTTTCTTCATAATCAGTGTACTGTTCAGAAGTTTGTAATACTAAATTTATCTATTTAATTTCATGGCCAGTTTGTCATCTTATATTTTGGAAAGGAATGATATAGTAGGTGAACAAGTATATTTAATAATCACTATTCAGTAGCTTGGGTCTAACCATTCTCTGACATCTCTAAAGCATAATGTTGATTCTCTACTTGCAATTCAGTTCTCAGTCAAACTCCCCAGCTCTGTCTTACTGATCAATTCAGAAGGTTATCTGTCCACTATAAAACTAGTCTTTGTTCTTAGAGATTGGAAGACTGTCTATTTTATACTCATGCATCCACTCCAAATATATTCTCAAGTGTTTCTAGATCTTACATAGGACATTTAAGCTGAACATGTTCTCTCTAGACCTCCAGCTTAGTTCTCAACTGCACTGAAAATGTGACCTTAACTAGTGTCCTCATCGCAGAAGAATTTACAAAGAAGGTTTTCCCCTGAGAGCTGGCCACCAGACATCGAGTGTCAGAAATTTTCATGGTCATAGTTAACTCCCTCCGGTTTTTGACATCTTAGTCCTTAAACATGCTGTCTGCATCATCTCTGTAGTCCTTGCCTATAATGTATCTCTATCTCATGCTCTGGTGTCATTAGCTTATATTTTGAAAACCAAATTCTGAGGATAGTTACCCTCTGACTCTTTATTCCACTGTTTCTGTAAGGAAACCTTGCACATGAGCCATTCCATTCTTTGCCCACACTTAGCTTTTTAGTTTTCTTTAGGCCGATAAATCCACACAATCATATTTCTCCCCACCAGGGTCAACAGCAACTCTCCTGGAAAGCCAGATAAACTGGTTTCAAAGCGTTTCATTTGCTCTTTTGAAGTTTGGTGAAGCATTTAACTTCGTGATACATTTGAAACCCTCTCTCCTGGTTTTTCTGTTGTGTCTCTATTTAGATGTTTTCCTTTGTCTGACATTCCTCTGTCTACAATTCCTAGAGTCTTTGGGCAGTGTGGAGAGTTCCTGGACGACCCATCATTGGTAGAAGTGGAAATCAGCCACCATCACTTTGTTGTAGTCAACTTTCAATTCTCTATTTCATCTGTAGTGATGATTTATTAAAATAAATAAAATAGTGTATTTTTGGTCCTTTACGTTCTAGCAGCAATGAATAATGAATAATTTTGACTTTAACTTTCTTCTTTTAATAACAGTATATGTACTATATAGAAATGCAACTAAATGCTTAACAAATGTACTACTAAAATTGGGCTTCAAAAAAGAAGCCATACTTCCTTAAAAATATTTATAAGAAAATCTATTAAGACCACATTATACTCATTAAACACCCACTACATGGTAGAGAATTGTTTGATTATATTATGATTTAACAGTCTTCATAAAGGAAGGGGCATATTATTACCCATATTTCACAGGGTACAAAATTGAGGTTTAGAGTTAAGTATTTTTCCTGATACCACAGAGCTGATAAATTACACAGCTGTGATTTGACTTTCAGATGATCTATAGCCCTTACTCTGTCCACTACAACACACAGCCAAGTGTTAAAGTGTCTAGATGTCAGAGTAGCATGAGACATGAGACTTATCTTTGATGCCCTCATTGGTTTTGCATGTTGATGGGAAAAATATGTATTTTTCTGATATATTAATATATTCCAACATATTGGAATATACTCATATATATATATTCCAATATTTCAAGATAACTTTAATTCCTGAAAGACAATTACTCTGTATAGCATTAATTATACAAAAATTAATTTACATAATTCTGGACATAGATAAAAATTTTGAAGTGTTTCCTTTGGGATACTCATGGGGTTTTGGCTGTTTATATGGCTTAAATCACAACACAAAATTTACTTCAATAGATTTAAATTTCATTATATTCATATCTAGACACTTTTCCTGTAGCTCTTAATGTATGGTATTTTGCCATGATTCTTAAGGTCTTTGGAAATTATTTTGTTGGTTAACGGATAAAGAGCATTCCTCTATGTGATTTTGAGAGTACATTCTTTACCTACAATATCAAATGTACAGGTTATTCTAATTTCAAACAAAATATGTATATTTGTATGTATACATATATATTAAACAATGATGAGTTTCAATAAAATACTGAGGTTCTTTTGCTTTAATCTTTATTCATTATTCTTAAGATTCCCTGGAAAACTAGAGGTTATGATATTTTCATGAAGAACATTGATTAAAAAAAAATATAAATCAATTCTAATGAGTCTTATTGGACAATGCAGATGGTAAAGAAAATTGATGAGGTCATTGTACCTCAGCATACCATGACTACAAAAACGTGTAAACTGTACCAATGTGGATTCTCATAGCTTAGAACAAATGGCCTCATTATTTCCATCTATTCTGTTAAGAACAAATGCATATCTTTGAATAAGTCACTTCAAGTTTGTGTTTAAAACATGGCGCACACCTTTAGTCCTAGCACTTAGAAGGCAGAGATAGGTGGATCTATGTGAGTTCGAGGCTAGCTTGATCTACAGAGAAACCCTGTCTCTCAAAAACAAAATAAACACATGTGGTCCCTGTTAAATGCAGTGACACCCCATCCTTTTGTCTATGCAATTTTTCACAAATACAGTTGCTGTCCCTTGGCTTCCTCTAAGAGAAGCCATATGTTCCACAATTATAAGAGCTCCATCCCCTCAGAGAGTTTAAATAAAACTACCTCTTTCAGAAATAATAATATTTTGTTCTTTCTCAGTAAGTCTTTCTTCTACATATAGGATGATTCGGAGTGTGAATCCACAGTGGAATGAATACTTAGCATGTGGAAGGTCCTGGGTTCAAGCTCCACCACTGCTGCATAAATAAGTAATTAAGTAAATAAATAAACACTAGGACTAACTTCAAAAAGGCAAATAAACACAGATAAGTGAGCTTATCGTCTTCCTTATAAAGACATGGAATAAACATCTTTATTATTTTACTGCTTACATTGTATCATAATATACCTGTTATCATTAATATCTTTTAAGTAATAAAAAGCTTTAAGAAAATTGTTTGTGTTCATGCAAGTCTTTACCAGACACAAACTCACGATTATTGCTTTCTTCAAGTGTTAAAACAGTTATGTTTCTTTTTAAAATCAACTTATTATTCATGATGAATGGCCCTCTCACTTGTGCTTTGAATGCATCATTGATCACATGTAGATGGTTATAACCAAAGTCAGTAATAAAGAAGAATTAAGTATTGGATAAAACTTTAAAAGCATTTTCCCTGTAGGTAAGATTAATGTGCATCATTAAAAGTTACCTTCCTTCCTTTCAGATCCAAAACTTTAACAGAAATAATGAACAAGAAAATGACTATGAAGACGATGTTACCTCATTGTCTACATATCCACCCTGTAAGTTTCCCTCTACTCTGTGAATTAATATAGGTTTTATAGTATGGTGTATGAAACTCAAAACAAGATTGAACAGAAAATGTGGGAATGTATTTCATCAACCAAAGGATTTTTTAGAATAATATTGCAGTAAAGATGTTTTGCCTATATGTGCTAATTTCAATGATCCACAAGGTCAAGATTTAATAATCAAATGTGAGTTTATGAATTTTCCTACCTTGAAAACTTATACAAGTCACTTGGATATTTTTTCTGAGTGTTTGAAAGCTGTTTCCAAATTTGTTTTTCAAAATATAATCACATTGTCGGTGAAGCTGTGAAGTGGGAACTTCAGACATAGCACATGCAATTCTTTGTCTAATGTCTGAAAATGAATTCAGTGTTCATACATGTCCAGGCCAGGTCTCATTACCATGCAATGGCTTGCTTACCATCTTCACCAGCATTTATGACCCTTCCATTCAGAAAACCCTGATTCCTGTCCAATGTCTCCTCCTGCTGACTTCCCTCCTCAGGCAGAGAGAATGCCTTTTCCTTTCAAGTTAGTTCAAAATTCTTGAAGTTACTCTGGACTCTTTTTCTTCCACTATACAAACACTCCACCATCATCCTATTTATTGCACTTTCAAAGTATTTCCAACATGTAACCAGTTGTCACTGTTCATTGTCTTTTATCTGAGAGAGAATGATTATGCCTCTGCCTCTGAATATGTGCAGTTTCAGGTCCCTCCACACCCTCTCCCTCCCTGGGCCACCCTAACTCCCTTCCTTGCTTCCTCTACATATCATAACTTCCGTTTTAACATTTCATTTCCCTTTGCTTGTACAGTTCTCCACTATGCTGAGCATCATTCAGCATTATATTTCACTTATCTGGTTCTTCATTTATGGCCCATCCCCTTTATTTAAAATACTTGTCTTGAGAGACTAGGTGTTTTGTTCATGTCCATATGTCCTATAAGCAGTACATGATGAATGCTTAGTTATATAGTGCTAACCACAAGCTTTTCAAATGACAGGCAGATAGGCAAATCAGACAAAATTCAATGCAAAGCTTACCATGTATACTTTGATAAGATCCTTCAAACATTATCATAATATGTTTAATTTAATTTAAATTAAATACTAAATTTTAAATTAATGAATCAATTAAAAGGTTTACAGGTTATATATTTTATCACCTTAATAATAAAAAGGTTATGATAAAGCTTATTAGTAATACCAATTACATATTATCCCACCTTCTGAAGAACTACCAATAACAAGAGAACATTATTGTAGGTTTATTGCAACAACAAAAAAAATTCTCATCTCAACAGCTGAAACAAAGAGCTCCTTCAGCTGTGAAACCAAGACAGGGCTCAGCCACCAGTTTTCATGAGTGTGGGGGTAGGCAAGGCATCACAGTAATGCCTACTAACCCTACCTTTCCAGGGCTGAATATATCTGCCAAGAACCTGGAATGTCTGTTCCTCTTTGGAGTCAAGAAACACTGATTCTAGAACTAAAGGGCTGGCATGAAATTTCCTGTGCTTAGCTGTAATTCTAGGGAGATGACAAAATAGTCAAGCATCTTCAGATACTTGTGGCTGAGCAATGGCTCTCTTGGAGTCATTCCATCATCTACTCCATCAGCATTTCCAGGGATCACTTTATTTTAGGGTCAGTGTTTAAGTGTTAGGAACAGAAAACTGAATGAGACCTCATGTATGTTTTTTTATACATGAATAACACACCATACACATACACCCCCCCTGAAAACCTACACACCCACACCCACACACCATAGTACATACTTACACTCCCACAGACACTGCAATATATACAATATTCAACACACACACCACATGCACTACACCATATACATACACTACACACACACACACACACACACACACACACACACACACACCAGAAGTCTACTTGCTCTTCCCAGACTAGTATTTATAGTATTTCAGTGCATGAAGCAAAAACCAGGTCTTTCTTCTTCCTTGTGTGAAGGAAAAGATTGTCCAGGGCACCATTATAGGCATTCTTTTCCGTGGGTCTAATTTTTCTCACACTGCTAAAAGTTTTCCACTGTATGGCTTCATTTTTCAAAGAACAAAGAACAAATGTCTTCTTCCCCACACTGATTTATTTGATATTTAAAGCTATAGTTTAGTTTAGCTAAATTTGAAAACAATTCTTTTTCACTGAAAATGATGAGACACATTCCAATGTCTATGAGAAAGATCAAAAAGATTATGTCTTTCATTTTCACTTTTAAAAAGAAAACATTATATAAATTGTTTTACAGATGTGGAGTTATTGCAGCTTAATGTTGTTGTGCTTTTTCCTGGTTGGTTAGAGTATTATTGTATAACATAAAATTTATGTGATGAGTTTCTTAGGGAAATTGACTCAATTACCTGGTTAATTTCAGAATAGAATGTACTTTATCATTAGGTATGCTTCCTCCAAAAAAGAAAAGGACAGTTTGCCAAGTAACATTTTCAAAAGTTAATCAGATACCCCTAATAATTTATGATTGTTAATTATACAAATTATTGCAATTCCTATTCTCAGGACTAAGTAGTATCATATTCTGTGGGGATGTGACATAAAGGCACAGATTCATTTTCAACAGTTTCTCCACAGAATCAAAATATCCCTATGTATGTGGCTGTACTGTGCACTTGGGAGACAAGTTGTGATGGAGTGTGAGGCTCGTTAGGTAAAGCTGAGCTACACAGTGGGCAGCTTTTCTTACTATACAGCAGGTCACAAAAGTGTATTAACTGTGCTACAACTTCTGTGCAAATTTTCAAAATTGCTCCCGACAATGTGTATAAGTGACATTGCTCGATCTTCATCACAAATAGCTGCACAGTCCCCAGCTTTTCATCATGAACTCAGGAAGACACACAGCTGGAGCACAGACAGATGTGAAGAACCTGATAGGGCTGGGGACACAAAAGAGGAAGAACCGAGTGCTGAGGCAGGAGCCAGCCTGCAGGAGGTCGGTGGTGACAGCTCTGAGAACCAGTATGACGATTTGTATGTGTTCATTCCTGGAATTGATGCAGAATGCAATGCACAAGAGCCTCTCCCATACTGCAGACCACCTCTGCCCCCACCCAGACCAGGGACTGCTGCCTCCCAGCTAGAACGGCCTCACCTCACCTCACAAGGTAAGCTTATAGAAGCAATGCAAAGACATGGTTTGTACAATGTTGAAACTATGGAGACAAGATCAGATTCCAAAATCAAGGGAGACTCTTATCTTTAACAACTGAAGCTATGGAAAGAAAACAGGAGATGATCTACTTACTCTTTCTCTTCAACCTCTCAAAAAAACAAAATTCCCTTGCAGAACTTAGGAATGTAAATAAGATAAACAACAATACTAAAACAGCCATGATAATTTGGAAATAATCTGTAGTGATGCACATAAAATGAAGTTGGTATGTTCTCTGGGGAAGTACAACATCCTGGCCAGAAGGAAGGATGATGGGAGTAATTTTGAGATGAGCATGGGCATTTCACTTGCCTGGTGCGTGGTCTCCGGTAGTTAGATCTCCTTGTATTTGTATGCTTATAGATCTCCATAGCCTAAAACTCTTAGGTCCAGGGTTGTTCATCATCACCAGCACCCACTTTATTCATCCACTTTGTATTTAACCTCCAAGTTATACTGTTCTCACAAAGAAAGACTGTTTTTTTTTTTTTTTTTTATCATATGTCATGAACAATGTATCTTAGTTGTCAGATCCTAGAAGACTAGCAAATGCATGGTCACTGCTTGAAACAGTGAAATTTGAATTGGCTACAGAGGTGGTTCACTTACAAGCACTTGCTGCTCTTTTGCAGAGGACCCAGGTTCAATTCCCAGAACCTACATGATGGCTCCCACTGTCGTTAACACTATTCCATGGTATCTGACCCCCTCTTCTGGCCTCTTTAGGCACTACCTACACTTAGTTCAGCTGCATACATGCAGGCAAATATTCATGCACATGAAATAAAAATATATTTTCAAGTGAATTTTGAAACCACAAAATTTAGCATTACTTTGCCAATGCTGCAGTCGGATTCTACACTATGTTAGAAAACCAAACCTAGGGATGCTTCTCTGGCTCATTCAGCCTACATTCATTGCTCACCTATGTTCCAAGCTTTCGTGGACCCGTAAGAGAGTAATGTTATCACATAAAAATCTGTGGGAGAAGAAAACACGCCAGTAGCAAAATGGCCACAAAATTCTACTGCATTTTTTATATTTGAAATTTTTAAATAATAAAGATTTAAATATTTTGTGGCAGATTAAATATCTGTAAGATATAATATTGTAAGTCTTCATAAGGTTTCATATACAATATGTTAGCTAAGAAACCAAATGCCACTATTTCATAAATTTACTAAATTCCTATGACCAAAATTATAATCTTGGCTAAAGTATCTCCTAAAAAATACTACACATAAAAGGCAAAGAACTCCCTGCAAAAAAAACCACATTGCTTTTATATATACATATATACATATATATATATAATCACATTTGCTTGCTTAATATTTTCATATTTTGTATATAAACTATACAAAGTAATGTGTTTCGTTATGATATACATGTTATATACACACACACACACATATATATAATTATTTTCATCATATTCTTTCCCCAGTATTGCGGTAAATAAGGATCAGGATAAACAAATAGGCCGAATAGATGTTTATTCAGGGAGAAATAACTTACAACCTAGACAGATGAACACCAGGAAATTCAACCCGATCCTCTCCTGTCCGAGTCACACCAGAAAGAGAGCACCTTCCTGGCCCCCTCCGACCTCCTTCCTCAGGTCACCTCCGCCCATCGCTCCACCCCCCAATGGGCGTGGTCAGTGCTACAGAAGGACTATCTCACTACACCCCAGCACTTTCTTGTCCCCTCCTCATTGGTAGCCTTTCTCTTGCCAATTGATCCCTTTATTACATGTTCTTTATTCAATTCACCTTTTCTCCCATAGCACTGGAAAAAGAGTAGAAAAGAAAATGGCACTATTTGTCAAGATATTTTTATAAGTTTTCCTTATTAATTTTATTTTTAGATTTATTGACTTTCTCCTTTATGTGTATGAATGTTTAGTTGGCCTGAAAACCCGCTTTTGTGTTGTGGCATATGTGTTAGAATCATGGGACTAGGGTTAAGGATGCTTATATACCAGCATATGGGTGCTGGTAATCAAACTCAGGTCCTCTGCAAGAGCAGCAGGACTCTTGAGTCTACTTGCCAAAATCTGTTCTGGAGCTATAGACATCAAATTCTATGAGTGAGACCTGCAGACATATTCAACTACCAATACACACCACTCTGAAGCATTTTTTACCTTCACAACAACCATGAGACTGAACTATCATGATGACCCATCTGCCACTCAGACACAAGACCAGAGAACTTATAATTAGAACCTTCTGTATACCTCCAGTGTTCTCTTTTCTCTACATGTATGCACCATTATTTCAGCAGTTGGGGTGACTCGCTCATAGGAGTGATTCATTTAATGTTTATTAGTATACAACCTGAGGTGAGGAAACTCAGGCTCCACTCCTTAAGGCAAAGCACAAGCTGATGCTTTGGAAGATAAAAAGTAAAAATGTATGATTTCTAGTATGAGTCCAACTTCAGAAAGAGTTGGAAAGAGAGGTGGGTGGGGAACAGCTCAGGAAATGGGTTCATAAAAGTGAGACAGTTGACACATTTTGCTAAAAATGAAGTGCTGTAAAAACCTTTCCCACACACTTAATCAAGTTTCACCCGGAGGCTGTCAGAGAAACAGAAGTCATGAAGCCGAAATCTCAAAGCCATATTATACATGCAGAAAGAGGCAAGGCTTAATGATTTTAAAGCTGGTGCCAGGCATATAGGAAATTAGCACTTCTTAGGTTAAACTAACCAGAAGAATAGAGTTTAAGATGCTTTGGGAGAGTGTCATGGTCACTCCTCCCAGAACTACCTAAAGCAATTCCTGAATATTCTTATAAAAATACTTTCATGTGGTTTTTTAGTTGTATTTCCTCTGAGCATCTAAGTTTTCCCACTAAAATCCCAATTGCAATAATTATTATCAGATCTGTGCTATTCAACAGAAGCAAGTTGAAAAAGAAACAGTAAACAGCATTATCCACAGAGAGAGACCTTCTCATTGGCCTAGCAGAGAGCCAGAGGTTATGTTTTACTTATTAACCAGAGTGTTTCATATGCTTGTCTGCTTAGCAACTGCTATGAAGATGTCTTAGCATAGTCTTGAAAAGTAGGTAAATGCTTTTCTATGGACCCCTAAAAGACTGAATCCGCAATTGGATTCTAGTAACACAAGTAATGCGCAAGCCAGTGATTGCCCACACTGTCAGTTACAACAAGGCCTCCACTTTGGTGCCTTGTCCCTAAGTGAGGTTCATATTCACCTGTGGAAACCAAGAGTTGCATTTTGAAAGTCAGTTTGTCATAGCAAAGAAGCTAGGATGGATGAAGGAAGTATGTATGGCTGGACCTTTGTGTCATTTTCAGAGAAATTAGGTTTAGGTGAAATAGTCAATACAATCAGTTGGAAAGGAAGATGTCTTACTGGAGGAAACATGTCTGAATTTTATGCTTAAAAATAACCCCTTTGAAGGATTTGGAGACTGAGATATAGACTTATGTCTCAATCTCCTGATATCAAATATATCACAAAAGTAATGTTGGAGTAATAATATTTTTTTGAAAATGTATATTAAAGAACTTCTTTGCAGAACTGGAAACTCCAAGCTGAGCTGTATAAGTGAATAAAACAACTGAGTTCCCTTTTTGAATTTTGGTAGTAGGTAAGTATTTTACCAGAAACGGGGCCCTTTTTCGTATTGTTTCAATGGCATTTGAGTAAACTGATTTGAGGAAATTAAAAACAGCAAGAGTATTGCATAAAATATAATATAATCACAAACTTAATGTTTCCTAAGCAGGGAAAATGATGGAAGACCAAGTGGGAAGAAGTCAAAACTGGAGTGATCTCGGTGAAAGACAGGAGACAAGAGAGGAACCCGGCAAAGAAGAAAGAAGAGAGGGTGGAGCGCAGAAAGCGGAGGGGGAGGAAGAAAACCCGTACACATTTGCTGAGACTGACGACAATGAGTACGATCTGATACTGGCCAGTAAGAGTGTAAAGAAAAGAACTGGAAATCGCTCTTTCATTATAAACAGACCTCCCGCTCCCACCCCCCGGCCCACCCCTGGCCCTTTCAAAGAAGAAACCACACCTTACATAGCTCAAGGTAACGTTTTCTTACTTATGGATTCTTTTTCAACTTTCCAATTTTGTGCCTGAACGTTTTAACTGTGTGCATGGTCTGTGTACCATGTGCATGTCTGGTACCACAGAGATCAGAAGAGGGTGTTGAAAGTCCTGGAAATAGAATTACAGAGAATTATAACTACTTTGTGGGTGCTGGAGATTGAACCTGAGTCCTTTGAAAGAGCTGCCAGTGATTTTAACCATTGAGCCATGTTCCCAGCCCCTATTTCTTGGTTTCTTTTCTTGTTGTTCTTTGGTTTATGAGAGAAATGTGGTTGGGAGATGAGATAAGAAAGTGAGGGATTTTAATGTTTTAAAATTCTAAAGGCTATAAACATCTTTTCAATTCACAGATAAGTTATATTGACCCAATTTTTAATCTAATATTTTATTCTTTGAAAATTTTATACATACATACAATATCATATCCACCCACACTTCTTTCAGATCCACCTTCCCCCTCCCAACACTCAGTCCTTTTTTTAAAAAATTAATGTAGTCTGATTTATGTTGCCTACATACAAAAGATTTACCTACCTTAAAGAAAACTGAGTCTGTCACTCGTAGAAGCCATTAACTGTCCATGGTTTCTCATTTAGGTGTGGGCCTTCTGAGTCCCTCTTCTCTCCTGGTGTGATGATGTGCAGTTCTCACACAAGCAGCCTAGGTTGCTGTGGGCTCATGGATGCAGCAATTTTGTCTATCCAGAAGATACTGTTTTGTTCCAGTTTTCTTGCTCTTACAATCTTTCTGTTTCTTCTCCACAATGGTCCCTGAACCTTGGAGATACAGAGGTAACATATGTGTCCCATTTGTAGCGCATTCCAGGGTCATTGAGTCTCCACCTTTTCAGAAGTTTTGAGTTTCTATGTTAACTATACCATTCATTACCAACAAACTTCTCTGATTAGGTATGAGAGCTGTACTAATCTGCCAGTTGAGAGATATGAACTTGGAGGGCAGTTTGACATTCTGTCCACTTAGCAAAATCATAAAAGTGGGTTCACTCATGGGGCTTGTAATCTCCCCAGACATGGATTCTTAGACAGATTTATAGTTCAAGGTAAACATTTCCTCCTGGGGAATAGGCCTTATATGTAAGCAGGAAGCAGTTAGGTACCTCTATAACATCTGTACTGTTATAGTACCCATGGGCATAGCTTCCCATGACCATCGTTATTATAGACCATAGGGTTCATAAGATTCATGTTACCTTCCTGTACTATGAAATCTAGAGAGCAAATCATCAGCTTAATTAGATTTCTCTATGTCCCATAACCTAAGTATGTAGTATCTTCATCAATAGGGCTTTACCAGTTAGGGAAAGTTATGGTGGGCAGCTAAGAGCCTTGGAAATAACATGTATTGTTTGTGGCATAACTCTGACCTATAACTCAAGGGTAATATCTCCTAATCTGGCAATGGGCTTTTTATGGCCTCCAAGGAGACCATAATCCATTTTGTAGGGTAACAGCAGTTAAACTCTTCCATAAAATGTTTCCATGTGGCTTTTTCAACCATTCTTTGTATTAATTATTCCTCCCCACTTCAAACTTTATCCCAATTAAAAATTTCCACCATTTCTTTTTAAATTTAGGAAAATAATGGATAAAGGAGTGTGTAAATGATATAAATACATTATTCATATATTAAAGTCTCAAAAGAAATTAAATTTTAAAATAAAAATTGAATAGAGAAATCATTAAAATTTTTGATCATGCTTTTGAATCTTCATTAATAAAGATTAACTTAATTTGATAGTTCTTACAAAATTCCACAAAAGTCAGAGTGAAAGAGTAGGTAATTTAGGTTATGTATTCAGAATGAGCAATTGATGGCTGAAGAGATGGCATATTATCCAAGCATGAGGATCTGAGTTCAAATCCCCAGTAAAATGTCAGGCATGGCTATGCATGCCTAGAATTCCAGCATTAGGAGGTTTTTTATCACATCTCTGCTAGTCTTCCAACTCAGGAAGTTCTACTAAATGGAATGACCATAATTTCCCCAAAAGTCATTTATTACACTATCCATTCATTAGAAGAGGATCAATTTGTAGCACTCTTGATTCTTGCCAGAACAGAGTAGCAGCAGGATGTGGGCACATCTATAGTGTAACACAGCCAAGAGGAAGCTGTAAGGTACAGAACGGAAGGAAACAAAGAAAAGAATCCAAGTATATTGTTTCAAAGACTAAACAAAGAAAAGCCAGAGGGATAGAAGAAGCAGCCATGTTGACATTACAGAAATACTTTTGTTCAGGATATGAGCAAAGAATGACTTTGATGCTCTAATTCTAATGGATGAAGGGTTCTATATATTTCTTTGGTTCTGGTACAGTGAGAAGCGAAGGAAAGTAGATAAGAAAGCCCATTCTTACAAATGAGAGTTTGTGGTCTACTCAAATACTCAGGCTTGGTCTGCCATTCGGGATAGCAGTAGAAGGAAATTTCTGTGAACTCTCACTCACATGGTAGTCCTGCATGGTTTACATGGCAGTCTAATTTCATATGGGGGAACCAATGCTAAGAGAGTTCCAGTCCACTGCCCACATGAAGAAACTAGGAAGCAATGCCAGCAGCATGTGAGCCCCTGTCATCTATTACCACACCTGTGAACCCTGAACCGTGAGCTTCTTCCACAGATAAATTCACTTCACTTTCATGTATTCATAATTATTTCCTCCCTCTGGTCTACAAGATACACAATGGAAGATATCAGCTTCTGCTGAGTCTTCTTTCACATCATTAAAATCTTTGTTCCCACATTCAACTGTGAGTTCATGAACTGAGAGATTTGATGAATATTAGCTGAATGAACAAATGGTAGACGAGGCAGGATCCACACCCATAAGACTACAGTAGAAGACTCCAAGAGTATGGAATTAAATACAAACACCATAGAAGCCCCCTATTTACTTTTATTCTCCCCTAAAACATCCAATATTTGAAGCACTAGTTTGCAGAGCAGAGCCCACCCAGGACAGAACAAAGCTCCAATATGGCCATGCATAGTTCCTTTTTTAAATAGTGCAGATCACACATTCCATCATCCTCTACCTGCAGAAATATAACTCAAAACTGAACTCGTGTCCATTCATGGCTTATCAGAAGCCATGTTTCTGATTCTGATTGTATGAAACATACCCTAAGATTAAGAATGGCAACAAGAAGAGTTCGCTTTTCTTTAAAACATTTTTTTCCTTAAATAGTCTCCCTGTTCTCAGATACTCTTAACACTTTTCTTTTCCTGTTATATTGGACAAGAACAGGCTCATTAGGCATCAAGAATTTGCGGAATTCTATAGATCAATATCTTTTTTGTGACAGAATAATAATTGATTTAAAAAAGACCAAGGAAAGAAAATAGTAGTCAGTATAGCATAGATAGACTGGCAGTAGAATTAATTCCATCTCGGATCATGCACAGATGTGAACTCCTACAAGGGAAACTGCTTAGCATCAGTGAATCATTTTTCATTCCCCTCCTACAGTTAATAGAACAAAGAAGGGACCAAGTCCATGTGGCTGATTTGGGGCAGAATACAATTCCCCTTTCAATTTTCAGTTGCTCCTGATGAGGTATCTTTGGCATTTTGCAGTGCCACAAAGTTGCCTATGACCTTCTTGAGGGCATCTCAGCTACCAAGACCCTAAAATGTCAGGTATGACTCAGTTTTCTTGTAAAATTTCTATCTGCAGTGCACTTGTACTAAAAACTGATTACATACAATGAATTGTAGGCAGGGGGAGTCCTTGTAGAAACTCTTGGGAAAATTAATTCCCATCATTGTAAATGTGACAGAGTAGAATGGGTTCTGCCTTCCTTAGTAAAGAAACTTATTCAAGTGGGTTAAAATAGTTCTTATGGCCAGAGCCTTGCAGCACATTCTTTGCCTAGGTGACCTCATCCAAAACATTTAGTTTCAGGACACCATGTGTATGTCACAGGTGCTCTCAGAACAGAGTGACATGGTCATCCTTCTATTTGTAAGGCTAGGGTCCCTGCCTTTCCAGGTGAAGTTCTTTATCTTTCAGTAAAAGGATGCTGGTCCAGCTCTGCAAAGAAGCCATCATTATGGCTGAGTATGTACTGTTCACTGAACAGAAGCAATACTGCTGTGTAGCCTGTGTTTAATGAATTGCTCTCCTTGTCCTCGGAGCAGAACACCATAGTCTCCTGGCTCATTTACAGAGACACTGAATGGAACCAGGAAGGCCTTTGTAGGCCATCTCTTAGGGCAGTGAGAGAAAGATAATTTGTATTGGTCTCATCTTTCAAGGATCCAATTTCTTGGTCATACAAAAGAGGCAAAAACACTAACTGGTGCGGTTTCTTTACAGATTTGCATTTGTGAGCAACATGTGAATGAAGCATAATCAAGCACTTAGAGCTTTTTATTTTTTCAACTGTACCACACTTTTTATGTTTTCCCCTTAATATGTCACTAAACTCTGCTCAATATATCTGTGTTAAGAAGTTTAATTGACCTAGTAATTCTTAATGAGTCCCAGATGTCACTGGGCAATGTCTAGAGAGATTTTTATTTCCACAAATAGGATAGTGCTAGAGGTGTCTAGGAAGTAGAGCTCAGAGGTACCTGATAACCATCCCACAACTTAAAGATTAGCCTTCGACAATTACACTGTAAAGCTTATACAGTATGAAATGCCAATAGTACCAGTGTTGGCAAATTTAGATCCACATGATTGCTATTTTTAAGGCAAACATTTAAAATCCTTAGATAATGGTCATTTAACAACTGCCTACAAAGACACAACCCTTCCTACACACACACACACACACACACACGCACGCACACGCACACACTATACATTTCTTGAATCTACAAAGTTTTCCTCCAGGGCTTTTACTGTGAGCATCACTTTAGCGCTTGCGTTATATGATTAAGAAGAATGAGATGCTCTATGGAGCAGTAACAGTATGAGGCATTCCCTCTGAAAGAAATTCATCAGAAAAATTCATGACCCCTTGAAGAGAAGTGGGTCTGATCTGGATGTCACTGTGCACTCAAAGTTGTGTAACTTGGTGAGAGGTGCACAACTCAATTCACTTTTTATGAATTATTCGTAATACCTGCTTTTCTGGGTTTCCATGAGAAAGCTGCCTATGCTCTGTGGTGGGCTCAGAGCAGCACACAGGAGATAGAGATAGTCAAAATGATATTTGAGGCTACTCTATAGACACAGGGTGTCTATAGCAACCTCTCTATTCCCTATCAGTGCCCATCTTTTGCTTCTCTCCTCTCACATAGTTTCATATGCTTATACACTAGATTGCATGCTTTTTCAAAATATTCATCAGCTACCAGTATTGAAAACAATTAGAATAAATGAGCACAGTCCTGACTTTGGAAGTTTTCAGTCCACATAGGGCGAGTTCTATTGGTATATTTAGTATTTAATGGTTGTCAAAGTTCACATAACCAAATGGAATATAAAATTTGACTTTAGAAGGCCAGGTCCTATCCTGTGAAATACAATGAAACAAAAACCATGCCCCCACTGGTATCTAGTATTAAAGCATTTCTTGATACAGAGGGAGGAAGAACAGAGAATTCCATTTGGATATTCACCAAGCACGAACCATATGGTAAACTTCTAATAGTTTTGAAGGCTTCCAGTAGCTTCCTTACCACCTAAGCCATTTCTCTTTTAATGATAGAAAGATTAATTGGGTTATCATTCAATTAATATTTACTGATAACATTTTCTAACTGAATAGAAATGACCAAAAACAAGTCAACTTCCTGCATGGGAAGCAGCAGGTGTTCTGTATGTGTTGCTTGTCTGGTAAACAGAAGAGGACATGGCTACCCAGGGACACATGGAGCCTTAGCTAATAAACTCATTGTGGTGGCTTCAAGCTGTCAATTCCACAAAACAGCCTGTCTTCTTCAAGAAGTTACCAGCTTTCTAGATAGGAAACCTTTTTAGAGTAGAAATATTCTTCTTTTTTGAGTAGAAATATTCTTGTTTGTATAAATTAATATAAATATTCAAATAGAAAGTTTGTTCTTCACCCCCACCTCAATTAGTTGCTTAAAAGTAGAGGAAAACTGATTGTGAGATTTCCTGTGCAGAATGAGGATTTTCATACTAATCTAACGATCAAGCTCAAATTTCTGTTACAAATTGGAAACGAATGGATGTTTTTTTCCTTAAGAAGCTAAGCATCTGTGAATGTCACCCTTGCATTTCATTCTTCCCACCATTTACCTTCAGGTTGGTATGCGCTTTCCACCAGCCTGTCTCTGCCAAACACAAAAGGAAAATGTACCAACATTAATAACCATGTGTGCACTGGCTATTTTCTGAGTAGGCACACATTCTTCCTAAATAGCAGAGTTTCCATATGCATAGGTCTGTATACTTCTGCCAGGTGAAAAGACCCATGTCCACATTCCTGTTCTGATATGGTGGCCTGTGCTGGATAAATGTCCCAGATAATGAGGTGGAACTAATGTCAGCACAATTAAATGGTTCAAGCTATCAGAGTGTTTGTACTTGTAGCGGCTACATTTCTCCTCTAAGCTTCAGATGAGTCACTGGGACCACGGATGGGATTACCGCAGTCTTTCCCTCTGTTGACACCTAAAGAAAAGGGCAGGCTGCTGGTTCCTTTTTTTTTTTTTTTTTTTCTCTCCCTTTTCTGACTTACTGTGATTAGCTTTCATGTAGCATGTAGTGGAGAAAATATGGATACAAAGACAGAGCTTTGACCTCTTCCTGACCGCTATCTTCTCTCTCTGTCTCTCATCCGTGGGTACTAATAGCATGTTTTACCTCTGTCTAAATGAGCACAGTGCAAATAGGAATGTTTGGAAACTGTCTGATATACCCACACACTCCCAGGACAGCTCAGGATGTGGAGTTGCCAATCTAATGGCAGGTTGTCACGTGAATAATAAAGCACTCCCTTCTAGGAGCTCATCCCCTGCAAACTCAGGACATGGTGTGGAAATGCATGGTTCCCTTCCCTACCTGCAATGAGCATTGAGCGTCATGGGATTTGCGACTTGTGCTTTGAATCTTCGTGAATGGCATTTGCCATCCTACATATTTTTATCCGCTTAGCCACTTAGACAATAACGCTGAGGGTGCTTGGTCCATTTTTCCAGAAAGAGACACTCCGGATGAGTTCTTATGCTCTCAGGAGACTATAAATGAGGGTGACACAAGGAGTATTTCTGCTGAACAGTCTGGAACGACAAATTGTGCAAAAGAATTTGTTTCATTTCAACCTTTCCTCCTCTGATACTTCTGCTTTGCTTCACACTTTTGAATATTTAATACAAAGCTAATTTTTACATTCAGTGTCATTTATATTCCAAAGAAACTTTTACAGAAGTCATTTCACCAATATTTAAAATAAATGAGGGTGTGTCATTTGGGACATTTGTATTGTTTGTGAATAATTTTAACCTCAAAAACTTGTTTGAGTTTTTTTCCCTCTATTGACATTTATGTTTAAAGGTAATGATAACATAAATACTGCATTCATCTTCTGTCTTTTCAAATTCTAACTGTGGATAGCAAGAGAAAAATAAGATTTTACTGTGTGTTTACCCAAGTTGGCATGTTACAATTGCATTGCTAGCATACTTTGGACATTGTGTCAACTACATTGTATCTGGTCAATGTTGTCCAGTAATTCAAGCACAGAGGGTCAGAATTGTTTCATACATACATACATACATACATATATACACACACACAGGGAAAGGCCTATTACTTGTGATCAGAGGTCTGTATGAAAAATGCCTCTGAACTATAAAAGCATTGATAAGTCTAGATTTTTTTGTAAGGGGGGGAGAGATGGGTGCAGCTGCAAGTGAGCTAAGGAATTTAAGGAATCCTAAGGCAGAGTAGATGTTAAAGGGACCTTAGCACTGTAACCTATTGCCTACCTCTATCTTCAGCCCTGTTACGAGCTTTTCCTCAGCCACTCCCATCCCAGTAGTCCACCCTCAGCTCAGGTTGCCCCTGGTTCAACCCTAGAGAAATCACACTAAGGCAGTGACCGAAGGACAGCATTAACTCCATGTTACATGGCCCAAACACTTGTCAGCAGAAGGCATTCCAGTAAAATATCCAGGGTAAATCAAATGTAAAGCAAATTCACCCCAAGAAAGCTGAGAGAAAAGCTACTTTTAAATGCTCTGCAGCTCTAACCTTCAGCCAGGTCCACGAAACTCATAGGTAGTGTGCTACTTCATTGGAGACATTATAGTTGCATTTGCCTTTCAGTTCGAATCATTTCCCATATTAATGATGCCAGACTACTGTTTTTCAGTCTTAGACACTCTCCATTGCATCTTAACAATATTAGCAAAAGCGTAGACTGCCTATTATTACTGAATTTAATCAAAACTGAAGAACAAACTGATGAAAATACCAAGTACGACTTGGGAGAATATCTAACGTCCTCAAGTGTGTAATCAACATGGCATATACCCCTCAGTATGTTTCATTTAGGAAATATGCCACAAACCCAGAATTCACAAAGAAAACTGATTTTCAACCAGAGATGTTACTTGATATGTGTAATTCTTCTCAAATGCATCATATTGGAAAGTATATTCTCTTTTCCTGAGGACATGAAGAGGAATAATCTTTCTCCTAACATTATCTCAAACATGTTTAATAGGTGTTAATTTGACTTGGGGAATTTGTTTTAAAAATATATGTTCTTGATTAATTCCACATATGACCTAGATATTAGAGTGGTTTAAATAAGAGTGAAGCCACCGCAGAGTTCCATGATCATTGCTGAGGTGTTTCTCCAGCTCACAGTGGCCAAGTGCCCCTCAGCTGTCTCCTTGGCCCCATGTGCCTCAGATCCATTTTACAGGACGATGCTGCTGAGATACAGGAAGAACGAGAGCACATCCATGCTCCTGTAGCTCCTCCCAGCCTCCCTCTCTAACTTTAAAAGGGAATGGGAGGCGCAGCATCGCAGTGAGGAGGAAGCAACAGACCAAAGGCCGGAGCTTAAGGGTCTAAATCATCTCTCCGCTAACAACCTGAGGATCATTTCAAAATTCACTTAGCCCTTTTACAAGCTGCTTACTTCCTCATCCATAAACATATGAGGCTGGACTAAATCTCCCAGGCCTCTTTGAGTTCCCAAACCCCATAATTCAGACTGCCCATAAAAAAATAAATGTAACTCCGGATGCTCATTTTCCAAAAGTAAAGTAGTAAAGGATCTGGTCTATTTCATTAACAAATACCAGAAAGTATCCACAACTTTGTGGGTACCTAATAAATATTAAACAGTGATTTTTACCTTTCATCTGCAAAATAGGGTGAGTAATGCTGACTTAAATCCCAGAATTTCATGTGAGAAATAATAAATGAGAACAAAGCACTTTTCAGATAATGAAGTAATTCAAACAAGCTGCTTTAATCGGTCTGAGGTCCGGATAAATGGCGCAAGAGTAGAGTGCCTGTTTTATTATTACATCTGTGGGACACAACAGGCTTTCCTTCACTTTAAGAAGAAACAATTATACTTGCTTATCACCCACAAGCCAGTTTGAGCTGTAGATTCCTATGCAAATGGATTCTTCATGTGAATTTAGCATTTATCACTTCTAACAAAATCGAGCTTTTATCTTTACCTGATATCATATTCCATCAACATCACGGGACACTGTCCCCCCCAAAAAAAATGCATTCCAAAATTACTGATAAACTGCACAGATGAGAAAATTACAATTTTAATAACTTATACTCAAAATGAATACAATTCAGATATCGTTACTAAGGAAAATAACATTGCATTCTGCTTTCATGGAGTACTTCATATTCATTAATTCTTTTGTCTAATGAGTTTTATGCACTTTTTTTTTTTTAGTGTTTCAACAAAAAGCAGCCAGAAGACAATCTGATGATGATAAGTTCTACAGTCTCCCCAAGAAACCAGGTATTGATGTTAAATTCAATCTATTTAATAGTCTAAATAAGATTTAAAAGAATCTTAGGAATATGCATAAAGTCTCCTAGGTCAAATAAAAACAATTGAGTTTGATTGATTTTTGCCTTGAAGTTTGTATCTTACTCCAAAACAATGATGCAATAATAAAACCAATGCATAGTGATTATTTTAATTATCAAAAACAGAAAATACCCCCCATGATATTGCCTGTAGTGATGTTATCAGGGCATCCGGAAAGAGAAGTAAGACAAATTTCCATAACTTGCATCAGAAGCCCCTCCACTTTTAGACTTTTAAGGGGATGCCTCATAAAAAAAAATAATGCCAATCAAAGATGGAACCATGTTTCCAACATTTTCTTGTCTTCAGCATTTGATCCAACACATTGTGAACCATAATTTATCACACAGGATAAAGCTAAAGACTACTATAGTCACACCAACAGTCATTCAAGTGGCTCAAACAGATGGGACATTTTATACTTCCAGTGTTCACTGGGACATTGGTCTTTTTCAATAATAGACTCTAGCAGACTATTTATTACAATTCTTTTTCAATAGCCTGGAATGAATAAATGTTCAAATATAAAAACCATAAAAGTCAGTTGATACAGGACTTAGGGTAGCTGGCTTTGGTAATCTATGAGCATATGCAGTTCTATCTTTGAAATAACTTCAGTCCCTAATTATGTCACCTTGAAACTGGTAACAGGTAATTATTGAGAAAGAGACATTGAAATAAAACCATAAAATCACATCAGCCACAAAACCCATACATGTTCCATATCCTTTTGTGCCATTGTGAACAGGCGAGGGTCAGGATGGACCAACTTTTTAACACTCTCTGAACAATATTTAACATAGAACCCCAATGGACCTGCTCTTAGGATGCTATGAATGATCCCTCAGAAAAAGCTGTCATCTTAAATTCATGACTATCACTCGTCTCTTTAAGTAGCATTTCTCATGACAGCTAATCTGTACTTAGATTGTTCTAACAATTAGTTTCATGGTGCTTTAATACATGAGGAAGCTGAACCTCTACTCTTCCATGAATTATTTAGATATACCACTTGTAAATTTATATGCAAAATACCACTGTCTTTAGCTGGCAATTGTCCATTTTTTTAAAGCATGGATTTCATGATTTAGTCATGTCATGGTTTAGATGAAAGGTGTTCCCCCACAGGTTCATGTGCTTTGACACTTGTCTTCAGTTGCTGTATGGAGGTTACAGAACCTGTGAGAGAGACCTGGCTAATGAAAGTAGAACATATGGGTGGGCTTTGAGGTTTATAACCAGCTCCACTTTTGGCACAAACTCTCTCTACCTCTTTGGTTTTCTGATATGCAACAAACTATGCTACAAACCTCTGTAACCACAAACCCATCTACCTCAGCACCACCCATCCATGCTTTTTCCACTATGGGGACCGTACACTCCTAAACCGTGCATAAGCAATAAGTCCTTTCTCCCTTAACTTCCGCTGGGCATTAATGGGAAAGGTTGGTAATGAGAATAGTAGGCACCAATGTTCCAAGAAAGCACTTAGGTCAGACAATGAGTAGCAGAGACAGTCCCTCCACAGAACCCCTAAGTAAGCTGTGTGTGACAACATGAAGGTGACATCTAAGTTGGAATGCAGACCGAGGGTGCTGGAAGAACAAGGAGTGTGCAATGTTTTCCAAGAAAATCTGCAGCCACTGATAAGTTCCATCCCAAGAGACCACACGTGCTGAGAGCAGCTGATCCATAGGAGTGGATCTCAGCAAGTCTACATTGAGTTGGGCTTTGGTGTTTTCCTTACTGGGTTTCAGTATTGCTTTGCTCAAAACTTCCCCCACAGTCTTTCCTTTCGTCCCTTTTACAAGCAAGAGCCGCTGTCTGTCGGAAGAATACCTTTTGCTCTCTGACTTTTACAAAGGCTCTCAGCTGAGAGTTTGGACTTTTGAACAGTACTGATGTGGTTACAACTCTTGAAGTTGTATTGATAGCAGTTTGTCTCCATCAGTAGCCACAAGCCTGCAAGGATCTAGGGCCAAATGCTATGGTGTGGATGTAGAATGTTCTCCTATAGGTCCCTAAATGATTGTGCTGCTCCAGAAAAATGTAGATGCTTAAAAACATAAAGTTTGGCTAGTGGAAGTACAGAAGTTGGTATAGCCTTTGATGACTGGACATAGTCCTACTTCAGGTTAAGCTTTTTCTGCTTCCCAATTTCCTGACACACAATATGCCATGATGAATGTCCCCATGGCCTTGAGCCATGGTTGAGCCACCTTGCCTTTTCTACCATGATGTGCTATACCTCCTCAACCGTAAGTAGAAAGTAAATCCTGCCTCTCATCATTGGTTTCTGTCTTTCGCCATTATAAAAAGTAGCTAACATAAGGGTGGATCGTGGACCTTTGAAAGTCTATGTACCTTTGTTATGCATTTATATCTCTCAGTAAATAAATGCAAAACTCCGAGAGTGGTCTTCGTATATTAGAATCACAATGGTTCCTAAAGATCTAAACAAAACTGATTACACACACACACCTCACACTTTTATAAATAATAAACAGAAGAAGTGGGCGTTTTGAGCTCTTTGAGAGAAAAAAAATTCCCTGAGTATCTTTTATTATAAATGGTCCAAATTTCATGGTCATAATTCATTGAAGGGGAGATCAGGAAATTTCAGGATTTCTCCTTCTACAGGACATGGGAGATGGTGGAGACCTGGGCAGCACCTGTTCGTAGCAGCTGTCTGTCTGTCCCACAGAAAGCAGTTTAAGGAGGGTTTCTCTTGAGCCTAGAAGGACTGATTCATGTTCCAGAAGGGCTTCAAAAAAGCAGTTTCCATGCTAAGATAAAATACTAGACAGAATGACAAAAGGAAACAAATTTTGCAATACACCTTATTGATAATGAAATGCTTTATTATTTTATATGTCTAGTCTTATACTCTTGGTTAATTTGCTTCACAAAAGTCAGTTTTCATTAGATTTTTTAAAAGAGGTCTCTGAGGACTAGGATACTAAAAAAATTGACATATGTTATTTGATTTTTTTTCATTTCAATTCTAGAATTCAACTTATTCGTAGCATTTTAAATTAGTCACAGTAGGATATTCCTTTACTTTTAGACACCCAAAAATTTACCAGAATAGAACAAAATAATGTGCTATTTCTAAAAGTAAAAGAACATCAGTCAGATCTTAGGAAGGTTTCTTTGTTGTTGCTGGTTTTTCTCTTTTTTTTCTCTCTCTCTCTCTCTCTTTTCTTTTCTAAAATCTGATAACTATAACCTCCAGGAAAAATCAGTTTTCATCATGATCAAAAATGATAATTAGGATGTTTATAAATGTTCTGGGTAATTAAAACACATTTATGTTAGTCAGAAATTTCTTCCCTACAACAGAATGCCAGACCAACCAACCTGAGAGGCAGATTTACACTGGTTCATGGTTTCAAAGGTCTCACTTCTTCATGTAGGAATGACAGTAGAGCAGTTTCTGTCATGGCAGCCAGGAAGCAGGAAGAATGGCCTACTCTCTCCAAATGTTCTGTACTTTGTAAAATTGAAATTCCCTCCTGAAATAGTGGCACCACCTGGGGAGCAAGCATGCACCACAGGAACATTTCTCATTCAAACCATCCAGCCACACTTCTTGAAGCTCTTTTGGTATTATGGGAAATACACAGTTTCTTGCGGTTTTCAGAGCATCCTTCAGCTATCCTGGGACTTCATCAAGCAATAGGAATGACAGTAGATGCTTCTCTAATGCTCATGTCTCTGGGGGGTAAAGGGAGGAGTTGTAAAATGTTCAAGAGTTAAGATTTTATAGGAGACACAGACAAGTCCCTTAAAAAGGGTTAAATAATGTATTTCTTCTACTGTATGCTGGAAGGAAAGGGGACTCATAAGAGCCAACTATTTCCCCATGGAAACTGAAAGCATTCCAGAATCTCTAAGTTGAAGATTGCCAAAGGGTTGCCAGGAAGCTACAGTATTGCTTAGCCAAGGAAGTTTCCTGAAGAACAGAAAAAAAAAATTACCTGGCACTATTTCTGTGGGAACTCAAAGGAATTCCTTGACTCATATTTTACGTCTTGAAGAAATATGAAGGGAAAGTACTAAGGACTGGGGAATCAAGGGAAAAATTTTTCAACAAAATGCAGATTTCCCAAGTTAGTTTGGAAATCAGAAAATGCCAAAGAAAGGCATCACAGATAGAATGAGCTTCCAATCCACTACATTTCCATTCCACTCCAGTTCACCCAGAGCCCTGGGAGCCAAAAGCTTTTCCTTCGTGGACACAAACCAGAGTTCTAGCTAGATATTATTGGCATATTTGAAGTTCTCTGGAGTTTTGAAGTCGGTTATGCTAACCACACTCACTGAGGACCAAATTATTTGTGAAATTCTCACTAGAGGAGGGTTTCTGCATCTTTGGGTATTTGCCAAATAACAACCATACTATTAAATGAGCTTGTAGATATCATGCAACAAGGCTATGATTGAGACATCCTCAAATTTACTAGAGGTGAATGAGGCTGCTACTTCAAGAACATGGACACAAAGTTAAATAATATTCTAGGCTTCTGGATTGTCTGGGTTTCCTAAACTTGTTTCTGTCAGACTTTTCATGCCAAGACCAACTCCACTATAGTTTTACTACAAGTAAGAAACACAACACACAATGAGCTGAAGCATTAAAAAAATAGCCTTCTTGCTCATGGCTCTCACCTAGAATCTGCTCACCTCAGGTTAATAGACCACATGAAGGATGTCCTGTTGCTGTAAGTCAGGATAAGCCATAATTTATATGGGTATGTTGGTAAGAGCCTGCCATTCTAATCAAATGTTTAGGGCAGACCCCCAGATTTAGATGAGCATAAGATTTATAGAACTTCCAATTTTGTTTGCCTAAACCATTCCTATCCTGTATGCAAATATAAAAATTATTTATAAATTTGCCACATATAACTTGCATTACAATTCTC